ACCCATCTTGATACTTATCATGCTCAGTGTTGCTTAACTTTGGTGACGACAAGAACTGGTATTTCAACATGATATGGCTGTAAACAATTTTCACATTTTAAGAAATTACATGATATATTTTGTTCTGGCTTTTTTATTTTTCTCCTTAGTAAAGAATGTTTTATTCATCTCACTTAATAAAGAATGTTTTATGCATCTACTTAGTAAAGAATGTTTTATTCTCCTACTTAGTAAAAATGTTTTATTCATCTGCTTAGTAAAGAATGTTTTATTCATTTCCCTTAATAAAAAATGTTTTATTCATCGACTTAGTAACTTAGTAAAATGTTTTATTCTTCTACTTAGTGAAGAATGTTTTATTCTCCTACTTAGTAAAAATGTTTTATTCATCTGCTTAGTAAAGAATGTTTTATTCATTTCCCTTAATAAAAAATGTTTTATTCATCGACTTAGTAACTTAGTAAAATGTTTTATTCTTCTACTTAGTGAAGAATGTTTTATTCTCCTACTTAGTAAAAATGTTTTATTCATCTGCTTAGTAAAGAATGTTTTATTCATTTCCCTTAATAAAAAATGTTTTATTCATCTACTTAGTAAAAATGTTTTATTCATCTACTTAGTAAAATGTTTTATTCTTCTACTTAGTGAAGAATGTTTTATTCTTGTACTTAGTAAAAATTTTTTATTCATCTGCTTAGTAAAGAATGTTTTATTCATTTCACTTAATAAAAAATGTTTTATTCACTTCACTTAATAATCTTTTATTCATCTACTTAGTAAAGAATATTTTATTCTTCTACTTAGTAAAGAATGTTTTATTCTTGTACTTAGTAAAAATGTTTTGTTCATCTGTTTAGTAAAGAATGTTTTATTAATCTGCTTCGTAAAGAATGTACAAAACTGAGCAGATATGGCTTTGAAGATAATACGGCAATTTTGTATAATATAAATTATTTGCTATTTTATTTTTATTATGAAAATGCATTGAAAATTAGGAAAAAATAAATATTGTCAGTGACCAGGAATTAACCAAAGTTGTATTGTCTGGAGAGCCTAGAAACAATGACTTGCCGCCAACTTTGATGAGTCTGACACCATGTCCAAATGCCAGACATCCACCAATTCTCTTCTCAGAGCTAACATCTGGCAAAAGACCACATGGAGCCTATTATGTCAGTACAAAAAAAAACAAAAAAACACCTTGCTGAGGACAGAAATTGATGTGGTCAATTGGGAGACAAAGACTGCAGAAAGAACCAATTGGAGAATAATCCACAAAAAACAATGTCCTTGAAAAACACCAAAGAAGAGATGTTGAGAGTCTAAAGAAAAGCCAGAACTCTTCATTCCCTAAACCATCCTATCCTACCACACGATGTCCGTCGATATCTCTTCGGATCCAACATAGGACTCATTTTGCACAGAAGGAAATGTCTCCAGTATTTGACAACAAGTTCCGCCAATTATGTCAATGACTGTCTGAATATAACTATCAAGATAGACAAAAGTCGGCAGGTATAGATTTGCTCTCTGCGGATTCTGTTTCGAATTTCAGAAATTTTATCCACAGCTTCAAGTTTGACCATGTGTTAAATATGGAAGAAAGTGCATTGTTGCCATTTCATTTACCCTCAAGATGGGGTTTGTAATTTTCTTCACTTCTTAATGCCACTTCTCAGATGCATCACCACCATTTTCCATTCCTAGCCACCTTCATTGGTCAACTACCAATTGTGCTGGTGATTAATATTTAAACGCTTGTCATTTATTTCAAAGAATTCCCAGGTAACAATTCTCAAGAAACTGCTGTCCAAATTTTCTTTCTTTTTCTTTTTTATGGTAGCATAAAAATGCCAGAATCATGCAACACTGTTACTTGATTGAATTAGAAAGCAGGCACCTTTTTTTTTTTTATCCTTTCTTGCCTTCTTCAAATTTACTTTTTTTTTTTTTTTTTTTTTTTTTTTGTAATGGTTTTAACATTTTGCTAATATTAATAGCCGAAGCAAAGGAAAAATTTAAATTTTATCGCTTGGTGTCATGGTTCAAGGTCTGATTAGTCTTTTTAAGTTTTGGAACTTTACACGTTTAAAAAAAAAATTGATTGGTGCATACATTTTATTTTATATGGAAAAGTATTTTTTTCTCTTTTTAGATTTTTTTCATTATGATTATTTTATTTTCACACATTTCGTTATGAGAATATCACGAATGAATGAGATTATGAAAGTGAATGAAATGATGAAAAATAAGATTATGAATGAAAATAAGAATGATAAAAGATCAGATTATGAAAGAGAAAAAGTGGGATGAAGAAAGAGAATATGAAAAGATGAGATCAGGAAATCTAAAAAAAGCATCTAGCACAATCAAAGATAAGGCTTTCTCTACCAATGGCTAAAATAATAAAAATCTGCCATCTCATTACCTATCAATAGTACTTCATGTTTAATAATGATTGTTATATATATATATATATATATATATATATTATAAATTAATTGATTTAAAATATGGTTTTTTTTCGCTACACAGTTCCAACCATGTTTCAAAAATAGAAGCTAAAAACCCCGAATTTAATTTTGCAATTAAATTAAAAGCATTAGTTCCATTTCATCTTCAAGCGAATTTTGGAGTAACTTTTAAAAATTACCGGGTTTTAAAGACACAGCTAAAATCATGTTTCCATGGTTACAGACTATTCTACTGAAATTGAACAAGGGATGTCTAGATTTTCCTTATGTCAGTATCATTGTATCAGTTATTAGCTACAATTTGGTAAGGGGTAGTGATGTATTTTACAATGAAACCTGACATCAGTTGAATGGATGTCGTCTGAATTTTTTTATATATATACTAGCAGCATGGCCCGGTGTTGCCTGTGCTTGATTCAAAAATCGTACAACTCATACAGCAATCATTATCACTTGACTTAAAATATTTTTGCCCTTCCTTGCCTTTAAAGGAGTGCCCTTTGCCATGCTGATGTTGCTACATGCCTTACTTCTTGCCTATCTCAAACTGCAAATTTTTTTCTCAGCTCTATACTAAACATTAAATCTGTTATAAAAAAAGAACTAAACAAAATGAACACAAAACGATCAGCTTTAAAAAAGGACTCGTAACTGGAAAAACCAAATGAAAAAAGAATGTTAACAACAAATACTTTTTCACACCCAACCCAGTTCTGCGGAATCAGAATCAACATTGAGTTTAAGCAAGTGAATGAGCCAATTGGAGTAAAGTGCCATGCAGATTTAAATTTTTCCCACTTGTGACGAATGCAGCTATTGATTTTTTTTTGCATGCTAGTTAATATTCATGTCAGTCAGCTGTTAGCTCTCACACTGGCTAATAGAATCATCCTGCCTATTCATGGCAGCCAGCTATTGGCTCTCACTCTGGCCAGTACAAAATGGCCACAAACTACATGAAAACTGTCGTAGAAGCATGAAAAAATTGATTATTTCCACTATCGATGGGAGTTGGGAAATGCAAAGTCAATCTTGGTCTTTTCCGCTAACTTGGAGCATGTGCATGTAAATTTTGGTGCAAATCCGTTGAAAATTGTGGCCATGCATTCATTACACACACATACACACATCCTGCCTTTCATATATATATATATATATATATATAAATAATATCGACATATTATATTTATTTATTTCTATAATAATCCTTTCTAGTTCTCTGATGATCTTCGAAATGTTAAGCTGAAATTCATCAAAGAAGGCACCTAAGTTTTTTCCTACCCAAGTACTTTCGATCTCCTCTGAGATCCCTCATTATCTAATGAAACATGCTTCAATGAAACATGCTTCTAATATATATATATATATATATATATATATATATATATATATATATATAACATATGAAAGAAATTCAGAAATACCTCATTTGTATGTAGTTATTTAGCCCCACAGTAGAACTACCATGCGGGATTTGTCAAAGTTGGAAAATAAAATAAAAATGTGCATATATATATATATATATATATATATATATATATATATATATATATATATATACATACATACACATTTTAAGTTAAGAAACTTCAATACCCGTCAGTACCTAGATGTGTAACTAGTTGGTAATACGAGGTGCTGTCAGCTTGAATATGCAGCTAGTGTAAATCAGAGAGCAGAGTTCCAATTCCAGTCAGGTTTGTTATATTCACTTACATGCAAAAAATATCCTTGGGAAAGGACTGAATCCAACTCATCTACTCCCCAATCTATGGGTTAATTAGTACGACTTGTATAAGTAAATCGTTATTTTCTCAAAAACATTTTTACTATATAAGAATATTTTCTGGTTTTAAAAAACCTGCAAAAAGTTGATAAGTCATAAAAAAACAAATCAATAAAATGTTTTGAAATTTGTAATCTGGAAGTTTTTTTTCCATACATTACTATTGTTTTAAACATTACAGAAGATGTATTTTTAAGTGTAGCTTCTGGTTGGAAGTGCAAACAATTTACACGTTTGTCAAACATATCATTCTGCCAGTGTTTGAAATTGAATTTCTGAACATTAAGTATAGGTTTCTAAATTCTCAAAACACTGGTCTGAGATAAAATGTTAGAAGGAATCTAACTCGGATAATTGACACATGTTCTGAAGTTTTTTAGTTTTTGTCATCTTTTCATGTCCGGATAATCAAATTATGGAAGATCAAGACATGGATAATCAAGAAAGTTTTTCATGCATTGTGATGCAGTCGAGTCTGTAGATATAAACAGACAGGATTTATATCTCGTGTTTTGACTTTAGTGTGGATTGGCACACATTTCAATTTTAGTATTGTTTAAATTCATTCATTTCAAAATGAAATTAATACTAAAACAGGTCTGCTCAGACCAGTCTCTTCTGTAATTTAGAGCAATTTAGTATATATAGATTTTTCTTCAAAAGAGATCTTTCTATCTATCTTGGCCTGTTCATATCTACCTATATCTGCATGTTTATATCATTCTATAAATCTATCTCAGTCTGTTCATATGTATCTCTCTATGCATGTTCATATGTATGTATGTATCTATCTATCTAACTATTTATCTCTGTTCATATCTATGTATCTATCTCATTCTCTTCACATTTGTGTATCTGTCATGGCCTGTTCATATCTATGTATCTATCATGGCCTGCTCATATCTATCTATCTATCTATCTATCTATCTCAGTCTGTTCATATCTATCTATCTATCTGTCTATGCATGTTCATATGTATGTATGTATCTATTTATCTCTGTTCATATCTATGTATCTATCACATTCTCTTCACATCTGTGTATCTATCACTGTCTGTTCATATCTCTGTATCTATCATGGTCTGCATCTATCTATCTATCTATCTATCTATCTATCTATCTATCTATTTATCTATTCCAGTTTCTTTATCTATCTATCTATCTCAGTCTGTTTATGTCTATCTATCTATCTATCTAACTATCTATCTATCTATGCATGTTCATATGTATGTATGTATCTATTTATCTCTGTTCATATCTATGTATCTATCACATTCTCTTCACATCTGTGTATCTATCACTGTCTGTTCATATCTCTGTATCTATCATGGTCTGCACATCTATCTATCTATCTATCTATCTATCTATCTATTCCAGTTTCTTTATCTATCTATCTATCTCAGTCTGTTTATGTCTATCTATCTATCTAACTATCTATCTATCTATGCATGTTCATATGTATGTATGTATCTATTTATCTCTGTTCATATCTATGTATCTATCATGGTCTGCATATCTATCTATCTATCTATCTATCTATCTATCTATCTATCTATCTATCTCAGTCTGTTCATGTCTATCTACCTGTCTTGGTATGTTCATATCTATCTACCTATCTGTTTTTATTTATCTATGTATCTCGGTCTGTTATTATCTATCTATATGTCTTGGTTTGTTTCCATCTATGTACATATCTCTGTCTGTTTTTATCTATCTGTCTTGGTCTGTTCATAGCTATCTATTTATCTATCTCTGTTCATATCTACCTATCTACCACTCTCTATTCATATCTATATATCTATCTTGGTCTGTTTTTATCTATCTATCTATCTATTTATCTATCTATCTCAGTCTGTTCATGTCTATCTATCTATCTGTCTATGCATGTTCATATATATGTATGTATGTATGTATCTATCACATTCTCTTCACATCTGTGTACCTATCACTGTCTGTTCATATCTATCTATCTGTTGGGGCGCACCCACCTTCTAACTAGTAATGGACTGGTCCCTCTTATATAAGTCAGCTCTAGAGAGAGGACGGGAGAGCGAGAGCGTCAGCAGTCCAGATAAGCTTACCCGGTACATACCGTTGGACTATAGACTTTGGATAATGTTTCGTACTAACCAACCTTCGTTCTACTAATCACTCTATTGTTAATTGCTTTTATGAATATACCAGTATTTTCCTCTACAACTGTGTTTGTCTTGATTCATACACCGACACGCGGGAAACTCACAACATCTCAACACTATCTATCTATCTATCTATCTATCTATCTATCTATCTATCTATCTCAGTCTGTTCATGTCTATCTATGTCAGTCTGTTCATATCTATCTATCTATCTATCTCAGTCTGTTCATATCCCTCTATCTATCTTGGTCTCTTTATGTATATCAATCTTTCTCTGTTCATATCTATTTACGTATCTATCTTGTTTTGTTCATTTCTATCTACCTCAGTATGTTCATATATATATATCTATCTCTGTATGTTCATGTCTATCTATCTAAGTCTCTTCATATCTACCTACCTATCTAATTCAGTCTGTTTATAGGTATCTATCTTGATCTGTTCATATCTAACTAAGATAGATAGATATGAACATACAGAGATAGATATATATATATATGAACATGCTGAGATTGATAAATATGAATAAATCGACTGACATAGATCGATTGATATGAATGAATTGAGATAGATATGAACTGATTGAGATAGGTACATAGATATATAGATAGATAGATCTGAACAGACCAAGACAGATATATACATATGAAGAGACTGAGATAGATGGATAGATATGAAGAGACTAGGATAGATAGATAGATAGTGTTATGGGACCTTACCCATAATAATAATAATGGACTATTCCATACTTAATAAATACTGCACCTCAGTAGTAGGCAAGGAGTCAGTCAGTAGAGTCAGTAGTTCAAGTCGAGTCAAGAGTCCATTCAGAGGCAGTCTGAAACAGAGTTGTGTTCAGACAATTACTGCAAGACATTGGAATAGTGATACTGGTCGAGACTACATGGTTCTCCCTACTAAACCTGATTGTTTGTACTAACACTTTCTACTTCTCTGTATATATTCCTGTTTGTAATATATCTGTGGTATTCCATACTTGTGTTCGAGTTCTTCTTTATTGGTTCTACCTTGGACTATCACCGTGGTACAAGGAACCGGACCATAACAGATAGATAGATATGAACAGACTGCCCTGGTTGACATTTTTTGACCCAAATGTTGTTGAGCAATGGGCACTTGTTCCTGGGCTATTTTTTCACACTGAATCTGGAAATCAAGTCCGATTTCCCCCATCACATCACGTTTTCTCAGGAAAGATAATTTCTGCTTTGCTTAAAATAGGCCAAAATGCCTAATTCACAGGGATATGCCATGGCTTAAATATACAAGTGGCATAGTTGAAACATTTTGTTTCATGTTAAAATGATTTATCATTCAAGAAAACGTATCCAAATAACTTTCAAAAAGGAACTCAAAGCTATTTCAGTTCAGATAAGCTGACATGAAAATGCTTGATTTTATGAGAGAGATATCTCACTGGAAAATGTTCTTGTGCCCTCTTGTTAAAACTTGTGTTTCTTCTCTACTTTTCATAGAAGAAGCTCTTTCGACATCATTGATGAACAGTGATTTTAGTTTTTATTAGTAGTTTTCTCTTTAAGCCTGAAACTGTCATAAGATTTTATATCACTTGAATTTACAGAGGTCTGGTATTGTCATGCAGTCTCTGTATGACATGCATTAATAAACGAGGGTTGTTAGGTTGTTAGGCAAGTGTATTTGAGACTAGCAAGATTAGAATTTTCTTTATCAGTGCATAAATAGCTGCCAAACACCACATAGGCATAGCCAACTAGGTACTTTGCAGATGGCATGTTAACATGATGGCTGATTTCTGCTGCAGTATCAAAAGAGATCAACCTTTTCAAAAACACCGTAGAGTTTTCAAGAAAAGAAGATTTATATCTTTGGATAGACTAACATGAATGTATTTTTCATTTCTTTTGTATTTTTGTTTTGATTCAAAAATTGATGACATGTTTGCCTTTATTCAATTTTGTGTGAGATTTTTTTGTAAACTTTTTCTGAATTGAAAATGCTGAAAACACATTTTTTAAGTTATTGGGATACGTTTTCTTTTATGATAAGTTATTCTAACCCGAAAACGTTTAAAGTTGGTGCTATTTGGCCCTGGCATATCACAGTTAAATGGATATTTTGGCCTATTTTAAGAAAAATAGAAATTATCTTTATAGATAGATATGAATGGACAGAGAGATATAAATAAGAATTGACCAAGATAGATAGATAATGAACAGACTGAGATAGATAGATAGATAGATAGATAGATAGATAATGAACAGACTTAGATAGATAGATAGATAGATAATGAACAGACTTAGATAGATAGATAGATGAACATAATGAACAGACTTAGATAGATAGATAGATAGATAATGAACAGACTGAGATAGATAGATAGATAGATAGATAGATAATGAACAGACTGAGATAGATAGATAGATAGATAGATAATGAACAGACTGAGATAGATAGATAATGAACAGACTGAGATAGATAGATAGATAGATAGATAATGAACAGACTGAGATAGATAGATAGATGAACAGACTGAGATAGATAGATAGATAGATAGATGAGATAGATAGATAATGAACAGACTTGACTAGATAGATAGATAGATAGATAATGAACAGACTTAGATAGATAGATAGATAGATAGATAGATGAACAGACTGAGAAATAGATAGATAAATATGAACAGACTTAGATAGATAGATAGATGGATGATGGATAATGAACAGACTTAGATAGATAGATAGATAGATGAACAGACTTAGATAGATAAATAAACAGAACAGACTTAGATAGATAAATAATGAACTGACTTAGATAGATAGATAGATAGAATAGATAGATAGATAATGAACAGACTTAGACTTAGATGAGATAGATGGAGATAGATAATGAACAGACTTAGATAGATAAATATGAACAGACTGAGATAGATAGATAATGAGATAGATAGATAGATAAATGATAAGACTGAGAGATAGATAGATAGATAGATAAATATGAACAGACTTAGATAGATAGATAGATAATGATAGACTGAGATAGATAGATAATGAACAGACTTAGATAGATAGATAGATAAACAACAGACTTAGATATAAATAGAACAGATAGATAGATAGATTAGATAGATAGATAGATAATGAACAGACTGAAACAGATAGATAAATATGAACAGACTGAGATAGATAGATAGATAGATAGATAATGAACAGACTTAGATAGATAGATAGATAATGAACAGACTTAGATAGATAGATAATGAACAGACTTAGATAGATAAATATGAACTGACTGAGATAGATAGATAGATAGATAGATAGATAGATAATGAACAGACTTAGATAGATAGATAGATAATGAACAGACTTAGATAGATAGATAGATAGATAGATAAAACAGACTTAGATAGATAGATAGATAATGAACAGACTTAGATAGATATAATGAACAGACTGAGATAGATAGATAATGAACAGACTTAGATAGATAGATAGATAATATATGAACAGACTGAGATAGATAAATAATGAACAGACTGAGAGATAGATAGATAGATAATGAACAGACTTAGATAGATAGATAGATAGATAGATAGATAGACTGAAACAGATAGATAAATAGAACAGACTGAGATAGATAGATAGATAGATAGATAAAACAGACTTAGATAGATAGATAGATAGATAGATAGATAACATACTGAAACAGATAGATAAATATGAACAGACTGAGATAGATAGATAATAATGAACAGACTTAGATAGATAGATAGATGATAGATAGATAGATGAATGAACAGATAGATAGAACAGACTAGATAGATAGATATAATGAACAGACTTAATAGAACATAGATAGATAGATAAAACAGATGAACAGATAGATAAATAGATAGATAGATAGATAGATGATAATGAACAGAGATAGATAGATAGATAGATAGATATGAACAGACTGAAACAGATAGATAAATATGAACAGACTGAGATAGATAGATAGATAGATAGATAGATAATGAACAGACTTAGATAGATAGATAGATAGATATGAACAGACTGAAACAGATAGATAAATATGAACAGACTGAGATAGATAGATAGATAGATAATGAACAGACTTAGATAGATAGATAGATAGATAGACTGATACAGATAGATATATGAACAGACTGAGATAGATACAGATAGATAAATGAACAGACTTAGATAGATAGATAGATAGATGATAGATAGATGATAGATAGATAGATAGATAGATAATGAACAGACTTAGATAGATAGATAGATAGATAGATAGATATGAACAGACTGAAACAGATAGATAAATATGAACAGACTGAGATAGATAGATAGATAGATAGATAGATAATAACAGAACAGATAGATAGATAGATAGATAGATAGACTGATATAGATAGATATGAACAGACTGAAATAGATAGATAGATAGATATGAACAGACTTGAGATAGATAGATAGATAGATAGATAGATAATGAACAGACTTAGATAGATAGATAGATAGATAGATAATGAACAGACTTAGATACAGATAGATAATGAATATGAACAGACTGAAACAGATAGATAAATATGAACAGACTGAGATAGATAGATAGATAGATAGATAATGAACAGACTTAGATAGATAGATAGATAGATAGATATGAACAGACTGAAACAGATAGATAAATATGAACAGACTGAGATAGATAGATAGATAGATAGATAATGAACAGACTTAGATAGATAGATAGATAGATAGATAGATATGAACAGACTGAAACAGATAGATAAATATGAACAGACTGAGATAGATAGATAGATAGATAATGAACAGACTTAGATAGATTGATAGATAGATAGATAGATATGAACAGACTGAAACAGATAGATAAATATGAACAGACTGAGATAGATAGATAGATAGATAATGAATAGACTTAGATAGATAGATAGATAGATAGATATGAACAGACTGAAACAGATAGATAGATATGAACAGACTGAGAGATAGATAGATAGATAGATAATGAACAGATAGATAGATAGATAGATAGATAGATAACAGATAGATAAATAATGAACAGACTGAAACAGATAGAAATATGAACAGATGAGATAGATAGATAGATAGATAATGAACAGACTTAGATAGATAAATATAGACTGAACAGATAGATAATGAACAGACTGAGATAGATAGATAGATAATGAACATACTTAGATAGATAGATAATGAACAGATTAGATAGATAGAGATAATGAACAGACTTAGATAGATAGATAAATAATGAACAGACTTAGATAGATAGATAATGAATAGACTTAGATAGATAGATAGATAATGAACAGACTTAGATAGATAAATAGAACAGACTGAGATAGATAGATAATGAACAGACTGAGACAGATAGATAAATAATGAACAGACTGAGATAAATATGAACAGACTGAGATAGATAGATATAGATAAAATGAACAGACTTAGATAGATAGATAGATAGATAGATATGAACAGACTGAAACAGATAGATAAATATGAACAGACTGAGATAGATAGATAGATAGATAGATAGATAATGAACAGACTTAGATAGATAGATAGATAGATAGATATGAACAGACTGAAACAGATAGATAAATATGAACAGACTGAGATAGATAGATAGATAGATAGATAATGAATAGACTTAGATAGATAGATAGATAGATAGATAGATAGATATGAACAGACTGAAACAGATAGATAAATATGAACAGACTGAGATAGATAGATAGATAGATAATAATAGACTTAGATAGATAGATAGATAGATAGATAGATATGAACAGACTAAATAGATAGATATGATATGAACAGACTGAGATAGATAGATAGATAGATAATGAACAGACTTAGATAGATAGATAGATAGATAGATAGATATATGAACAGACTTAGAACAGATAAATAAATATGAACAGACTGAGATAGATAGATAGATAATAATGAACAGACTGATAGATAAATATGATGAGATAGATAATGAACAGACTTAGATAGATAGATAGATAATGAACATACTTAGATAGATAGAGAGATAATGAACAGACTTAGATAGATAGAGAGATAATGAACAGACTTAGATAGATAGATAGATAATGAACAGACTTAGATAGATAGATAATGAACAGACTTAGATAGATAGATAGATAATGAACAGACTTAGATAGATAAATATGAACAGACTGAGATAGATAGATAATGAACAGACTGAGATAGATAGATAGATAATGAACAGACTGAGATAGATAGATAGATAATGAACAGACTGAGATAGATAGATAATGAACAGACTTAGATAGATAGATAATGAATAATGAACAGACTTAGATAGATAAATATGAACAGACTGAGATAGATAGATAATGAACAGACTGAGATAGATAGATAGATAATGAACAGACTGAGATAGATAGATAGATAATGAACAGACTTAGATAGATAGATAGATAATGAACAGACTTAGATAGATAAATATGAACAGACTGAGATAGATAGATAATGAACAGACTGAGATAGATAGATAGATAATGAACAGACTGGAACAGATAGATAAATATGAACAGACTGAGATAGATAGATAGATAGATAGATAGATAGATAGATAATGAACAGACTGAAACAGATAGATAAATATGAACAGATAGTGATAGACAGATAAATATGAATAGACTATCTCTGTTCATATCTATCTATCTATCTGTCTCTGGGAAAATAACAGTAGCCTAGATATCAGCTCATGACCTACATGACAGCTTCTTTGTATTTTCTCAAGAATTTCTAAATATATATCAGTAACACCAGACCATATATATAACAGCAGTATTGAATGCATGGACAAATAAAATAAATTGCCATGCACATTACAAAGAAATGCTGTCTCTCCAGTTTGGAAAAACCTTAACAGGTATTACATCAAAATGATTTATTTGTTTTTACAGAAATAAACAGGAAACTTATGTGGCACAAGACAGAAAGTATGGGGCACCCGGTGAGGATCGAACTCACTATTCAGTTGTAATTGATTTAGTGAGACAAGCTTGCTAACCATTACACCACTTCCAAGTGCCTGAATCTTAACCTCAATGTTTGTTAGCTGAACTTGTTTTAATAACTAGGCTATAAAGCTTCAGAGATGTTTGTTTTGTACATGCAATAAAATATCTGAGAAAATCCAATTGTTTCTAAGTCCTGTGAGGCAGAACTTATTGATGCAGTAAGTGGAATCTATGTCTAGTCTTTTGCCTTCAATTTGAAACTAATACCACTGGGAAAGGCATGAATCCATCTCATCTCCCCCCAGCTATAGGTTAAATAGCAGGGTAGACTATGATCTCTTGCCTTGAGTGGCACTGTCTAGAAAAAGGACGACTCTGAATTCAAATCCATGGAGAAAGTAACAGGAAAGCATTCCATTATCTTTCCCATGAAGTTATGCCAATTAGCATAGAATGGTTGCTTCCATCTCAAAGGGACATGGCATTAAAAAAAAAAGTAAAGAAAGGGAAGCTGTGGAGTGTCAAGATCGCCTACGTCCTGAAGGAACATGCCATTCATCAACTTCTTTAAATATTTTTTGTTGACTTTTCAACAATTTAAAGATTTTTTAAAAATTGGTATCAAGGCAGTAAAGCCACTAAGATACAAGGGGTAACTGAGTGTGAAAGAATTCGGAACAGAAACATTAATAATGATTAGGAGGAGGAATGTGTAACCAGGAGGACAGTAGATAGCAATTGACTGCATTTAAATTTCTATAGATTAAATTTGGCCGGAAAGCATGGAGCCAGAATGGAGTTCCACAAGTGAGAACATTACGAGGTCATGAGGTCCCATCTTAAAGGAGAGCTATTACACCCCTGAAAGAGCAAAGCTTGTACTAGATAAGAAAGAAGATAGAGACTTTGTGTCCTTTGCTTTAAAACGGATTTGTGGCAATGCCATGTATTCATTATTAGCAGAAGTTCCTTGGAAGACAAGTGGGGTAATCCCATTGTACTTAGTTATTTTTATCATAAAATTCACCAGTGCTAAAAATCTGATATTCTAGCTTCTGTCTGATCCTGAACTTAGCACATAAGTAAGTTTCAATGTGTATTTGTACAAGAAAGTCTGAGTGGGGAAACTTAAAAGCAAATTTATAGATATTAGTAAAAAATAATTTATTACTTCATGCATTATTTTTAGTAGATACCTGTATTTGAGTAGATGCTTCATTTATTTCAAACAATATTTTATTTTGTCTACCGGCCTAACATATTTGAGAAAACAAACAATAACCAGATACGCAAATACTGCTATAAGCTGATATACTCATATATATATATATATATATATATATATATATATATATATATATATATATCCACTAAAATTAATGTTCAAAGTAATAAAAATCCATCCGTTCTTTATATATATATATATATATACTAGCAGTAGAGCCCGGCGTTGCCCGGGGATGTAACAGTAAGAGATAGATTATGTATCGACCATCATAAAGACTGAAAAATAAAATTGACAAAGATTCTTGTTTAAGGTTGACGTACACGCATGTCTTAATTAGTTTTGTTTTTTTGTTTTTGTTTTGTTTTTTTACGAATTGGTCAAACCCAAACTCAAACAAAAACATTGTTATGAGTCTACCGACTCAATAGAATTTTATTATAAACAATTGTCTTGTAAATGGAATTTTTAAAGAATTCTGAATGTAAAAATAAAGAAAAAAGTGTGCAAGACAATAAGAAACACTACCTGCCAAAAAAAGTGAAGTTTTGTTGAAATCGGTTGAAAAATGTAGGAAATCCGATCCCATATATAAACGAACACACACAAACAAACAAACTGGGTTTTATAATAAGTATAACTCGATATGAGTTGTCCCCCTTGCATTAATGCCTCTTAATTGTGTTTTCAAATTGATTTCGTGAAAAAACAATTGTGTTTTTCCAATTTTTGCCGCTGTCAGAACCACCGCAAGGTAATTTTACGTAGTCCTGTGAAGTTTTGTTGAAATCGGTTGAAAAATGTAGGAAATCCGATCCAATATATAAACGAACACACACACACACACACACACACACACAACCTGGGTTTTATAATAAGTATGATATATATATATATTATAAATTAACTGATTTAAAATATGTTTTTTGCTACACAGTTCTAACCATGTTTCAAAAATAGAAGATAAAAGCTTAGAATTTAATTTTGTAATTAAAGACATTAGTTCCATTTCATCCTCAAGCAAATGAACTGTGTAGTGAAAAAAACATTTTAAATCACTTAATTTATAATATTAATGCTCTGTAAATTTACATTGAGCACTATTTTGTAAAAATAAAAATATCTATGAGAACACCGGATTATATATCTTACTCTTTTTTCTTTATATATATATATATATATAGAACAATAAAACATAAAATTTTCAGACACACTGGGTTGTATATTAATATTTTTTGTTTTAACATTTCAACTAGATTCCTTTCAACTAGTTTCGGCCAGCATACCCATCATCAGGAGAAAACAATTTCTGCTTGTTAGTAGCAGTGAACTGCAGAAATGAATGACTTGATGGAGAAAATGAACTTTATCTGTAATTTTTCATTTGTTTTTTATCGTTAATTTTGGTCTGTCCTTGTATATATAAAGAACAAGTAGGAAACAGATCTCAATCTAACATGTTTAACTTTATTAAAGCTTCGTCAGAGATCAAGATAGAAATGATAAAAACGATAAAAAGCAAAGAGACGCAGGTTAATGATATGCTGTGTTTGATTAGTTCTTATTGGTTTGATACATGTCACGTGTTATGATGTAACAGATAATATTATCAAGTCAAATATCTACCGCGCAATAACATGTAAATTGTTGAGACATCACGAGATCTAAAACCCTGCATCAAAGAACACAAAAGAGACTTGCGATTAGATAGACATTCAAACTCTCCCGTCTTATACCGCAATGACGTGGGACATAACTTTAATTTCACCAATGCCAACCTTATTAAAAAAAAAAAGAAAATAACCTTTTAAAGAGAAAATATTATGAAAACATATTTATAGCAACACTACCAGCTCTTAACATACGTTAAAAAAACTACATTACTTCACCATTTTTTTTTTTGCAGATCCATTATTCATGAAACCAATTTATCTCTTTTTAATACATAAAAATCAATGGCGTTATATATACAAAATACACACCAGATATGCTTTAATAAAAAACCAAACCAAAAGAAAATTTTTCATATTTGAATATTATCTGACACTTCATTACACGTGACACATATCTAACCAATAAGAAATAACCGAACACAGCATACCATTAATCTGCGTCTTTTTGCTTTTTATCATTTCTATCTTGATCTCTGACGAAGCTTTAATAAAAGTGAAACATGTTTGATAGAGATCTGTTTCCTACTTGATCTATATTTGATCTTCTATTCACACACACACACACACACACACACACACACACACACATATATATATATATATATATATATATGAAGAAAAATATACGGAAAAAACAAACAAAAATCCTAATATGCAATTATGCTGTTTTAATGTTAATATAATGTCCACGTCGGACGTTTCGGTCTAATAGACCATCTTCAGGACATATTCATAAAACATAATTAACATAGACCATATTCAATTCAACATGAAAAAGACGATGGACATAAAAGCAAGACCAATCCAAAATACTTGAGTATTTTGAATGAAATAGGAATACGTTTTCCCAGCATCGCCCACGTGACGACGACGTGATCATATTTAAACGGAACGCTGATCTTATAAAAGATTTCAGTTATCTGTTTGGATTTAGAAATCTAAAGGTGTCAAGTCGCACAATCGTGGTGGCCATTTGACTTCGCTGTTTCGAGAGATGATGCAAACTGGGAACTTTTCATTGCATTTCTGTTTGAACGTCCATTTTCGTAATAGGCTTCCATAACTTTAGCACGTTGTTTTATTGTTAATCTTTTCAGGGTTGAAATTACCAAAGACTTAAGTTGTTAAATCCGAAAGGAAAAGAAAAAAAAATCAGTAAACAATTAAACTTAATTCACATTTAAAATCGGTCCAAGTTATTGGAACACCTTATATATATATATATATATATATATATATATATATATATATATGAAATGGAAAAAGTCCGACGATTATTTTAAGACAAATTATAAGATATATGTAAAAAGAACGTATAAACATAAAAAATGTCTTAATATATATATAAATAAAAGTGAACATAGAAGTCAACACTTAGAGGCGACAGTCTGTTTCATGCTATATGCAATCGTCAGGCAGCCTGATTGCATCTAGCATGAAACAGACTGTCGCCTGTAAGTGTTGACTTCTATGTTCACTTTTATATTTACACAGGCTCTATCTCTGATATTGAGCGCTTTATCCCATAAATATAGCACATCTTAAGACTATATTTCTTTATTATATATATATATATATATATATATATATATATATATATTCATTCATTTTATGTGTATTTTCTTGAAAGGATATGTAATTTTACGTAAAAATATATATTTTTGCACACTCACATCTCATACGTGAATATATCCACACACACACACATATTTGAAAATATGTATATATATTTGTGTACATATATATAAGACTATATATATGTACGGAAAAATTACGAAAGACGCGTGAGT